TAGAAAAAATTGCTTATGGGCAAAAAAATTAAAAAGGCTAACACCGAAAGGTCTCAAATTCCAACATAAGGCGAAAGGTTACAGAGAAATTGTGTTACGAAACCAGAGTGTTGACCAGTAAGAATGTTCAAAACTGCCCTCCCTCACAACGCTTTTTTCTAAGTACTGCCCGTAAAACGTTTCCAGATCATGTCTGATAGCGTGCCGACGAACCGCATGTGATATCAAAATGTCTTAATAGACCAGCATTAGTGGACCAGCTGCTGTAGGGTATTGATTTCAACTTTTCCTAACTTACTTTTCTGAGATTCCAATTACATTGCCTTTTAAAGAGAAGGAGTGTTTTATTTGCCTTTAAACACGAGGCGAAGCCGGCTGCTTCGGTTAAAAATTGAAATATAAGTTTATTGAATGGCTTCTAAATCTTAAATAAAGAAAAATTACTTTTACAAAATAGTTCTTGTGCTTTTGGTCATGATTTACTTACTCTTTTAAGAGGTGAGCTAAAAAATAAGCTAGGTTTTCTAAGATTCAAGAATCATATTTAAGATTAATTTTCTTTGTATTTTTCTTATGAATTATTAAAAGTTTTTTGGAAAAATTTACGAAGCCTGAAACAAATTTCAATAACAGAAAACTTTCCATAAACTTTAAAGGATAACATCTCTTCGTTAATATCGGTAATCTACGAGAAATTCTTCACAAGGTATTTTTGAAACTACTTCTTTTGGCTAACTCCGTATTACTCCCCGAATATTTGTACAGTTTTTTGTTTTGTTTCGTTTTCTTTTTTTTAAAGAAACAAGGTAACAAACGGAGTGAGCTTGACGCCTATAGTTTGAACGTTGCCTGAAAACATAATACCTGCTACAGAAACGATGCAAGAAAAAACACCACTTTCGTCGGCGTCAGGTCTTTTACTTTGCGTTCTGAACGTCTCTTTATCCTATACTGCTATCATGTCAAACATTGTCACCGTACACGCGGTACGAAAGACATTATCCTTGTCAAAGAATTTAAAAACATTGCTCTTGAGTCAGGCTGTCTCTGATATCGGCGTTGGTTTAGTGGCGCAACCTTTATATGTCGCACGTATGATCCTCTATTGGAGTCAGGGTACTGAAAACAATCCAACATATTTAGCCATAATGATAATGCACATCATCGCGTCGAATCTATTCAGTTTTGCAACGATCCACGGCGCTATGGCGTTGTGTACCGACAGATTCATGGCCGTTCATCTTCACCTCAGATAACTAGTGACACACAAGCGAGTTGTTGGTGTGGTAATCTTAATTTGGGCATTGAGCGCATTTCTTTCATTCGCCAGGCTGTGGATGTCAATAAATTTCATGTACGCAATTCTCGCGATCTTTATATCCGCTTGTATTGTAACGGCAACTTTCTTTAGTGTCAAAATTTGCTGGTTTGTACGGCGCCACGTAAGTGAACTTCACGTTTTGCAGGCACCACAAGTAACGCAGAACGGACAAATGGCTAATATCTTAAGGCGGAGAAAGTTCGCGATAGCGTCAGTTTACTTACATCTGGTTTTTCTGATTTGTTATTTGCCAAATATTTTCACCTCGTTTGCTGTCGCTTTCACCTCTTACCCATTGAACATCAAACTAAAGGCTTTACACGGTTATAGTCTGACACTCCTCTATGTCAATTCATCCATTAACCCCCTTATTTACTGCTGGAAGATGAAACACATCCACCATACAGTGATTAGGGAGCTTTAGCATCGACGACGGCAACGGCAGCGAAAACGTCAGTTTTAAAATGAATTCCCGTTTTTCAATCTTTGTCGCGTTTATTCCAATTTGCTGAAAATGGCAAGTGTAGGCGAATTTCCCTGGAGTTGATTTCTTGAGGACCGCACTCAAGTTTAAAGGGAGAAAAAGAGATTCGTCGTCGCTTGTTTACGTCCTCCATAAAACTTGCAATTAGGCAGTTTCACGTCGTAGTCGTGCAAGGACGGTAAAGAAATGTACAAAAAAGCGTGATGCACGTGCAAAGTTGTTGTTTTGCGTAATAAACCCATTGCTTTTTTGTCGTCCTGGTAGCCGTTGCCGTCGTCGATGCTAAAGCTCCCTATTAACACTCTAAGGAATGCATTTTAAAGCCACAGTTGAGGGAATAGAATTTGAGGAACTTTGAAAAAAAGATGGTTGTTTCAATGGAGTAAAGGCAAGAAATCGCTTTACAGCGACTTCGTTAAAAATATGTTATTCTAAATAAGTTCAGTAGAAGTTACGTAGAAGACGTAGGCCTGGTTCAGACGCCGTACTTTTCATGTGCCGAACCTAATTAACTGAATAAGTTCGACTTTGGAGCGACACTGGCGCGACATCTGATTCAGACGGCGTACCGTGTGTCGAACCTAAGTTAAGTTCGACAAAAGTTCGACAGACTTTGTCGAACTTAACGCTTTTGCTGCACCAAGCTAAAACTGCCGTACCAAATTGATTCAGACGCCGCTCCTTTACCGTACTTAATTCATCAGTTAGAATCGGCACATGAGTGGAGCGGCGTCTGAACTGGGCCGTACAAGACGTAATACAGCCAACTCTCTTTATGGTGGACACTGTAGGGACCTCAAGTTCGTGTACCTCGAGTCCGCAATAGCGGGAGTTTATTTCTGTCAAATCTCTGTAATTTATTTTTGCCTGGGATTTAACTGCTGTCCATATTATCGGGGTGTCCGTTATAGCGGGGTGTCTGCAAGGCGAGATTTGACTGAGGGTCTCAATGGGGTGGTGGCTTTTACGGTTATCGGCTAAAATTTTGACTCTTTTACGGCTATCGGTTAATTTTTTTCAGTTACGGTTAACAAAAAAGTTAAAAATTAACTTCTTTTGTTTCAAAAAGTTAAATCATCTCGGGATGAAATTAGCTATCCTTTTGAAAAAATTTAACATTTGATAGATCATACTTTTTATAAAGTATTCCTTTTCTAACATTATTTTACACATAGAAATGTCAATAGTCAATTTAAAAATATTCTTCGTGAAAAACAAAAGCAGTCACGCGAACGCCCAACTCAAGGCCGGGGCGCGACATTCATTTTAACAGAAATGGTCGTTTTCACACTAGAGACGGATTATTCGTGTGAGACGGGTATCCGTTTGCTGATTCGCGTCAGATAGGTAATACGTCTTAATTTGAAAATGGAATAGTTTTAATTTTGAATGAACAACCCGCCTGACTTTATCCGTCAATTTCGACGGACAGTTTGAAGACGGGATTATCCGTTCAAGATAGCCTGTGTACAGCCGCCCCTCCCCTCAGAAAAAAAAAAAGGAGAAGGGATGTCTGTGGGGGAGGGGCGACTGTACACAGGCTAGTCTCAGACGGATAATCCATTTCTAGCTCTAGTGTGAAAACGGCCAATGACAAAATTCCCGTGTCCAGTGTTTTTAATGATGGCGAAGGATTGTACGGAGCGACTGTCTGGGGTTGCCTTGTCTGTAGGCCTCATCATTCCTCTCTGGTAATGCGTTTCGGGTCACGTGGTCCGAGCGAGTTTACCACCGAAATGCCTTGACCGAGATTGCGTGGGAAGACGCCGTACAGGGACTAGGCATGACAATGTCTACCGCAGCGTCAGAGAAAACAGGAAATGTTGTTTATTGGCAACGTGTTTTACAAACAGTGACATCTCTGCGTGTTGTTTCACTCGTGTTTCGAGGGCACGACCTCCTGGAAATCGCAAATATTAATCCCCAGCAAGAAGCCACACTTTCGCTATAGATAAAAATTGGTTCCCCGAGCGAGTGGCGGAAATGGAACCTAGGTCTTGGTTAACACCTAAAAGGCGCTTGGCCTAACGTGCGTACGCAGTCATACTTGCCGGGAAATAAAAAACGCAACCATAAGTGAGTTTAGTACCTTCCTTAAAACTAGCAAATCTAGGGAACAATTTCTTTTACGGTTAACTCTTGTTTACCGTATTTACGGCTAACGGTTAAAATTTTTCATTTTTTACGACTATCGGCTAAATTTTTGGCCGTTTTACGCCTATCGATTAACCCCATTGAGACCCTCTTGACTGTATATAGATTTACCAAAGGCTAAAGGTAAAGCTACTGCTGATAAATTTATCATTTATTTAAACCAATAAACTTGTAGCCATCACGTTGAAAACTAGTAACTTGTCAGCGGATAACTTCAAAAAACAAGTAATCTCGATGGGTCAACTTCTGAGCCCGCGATATGGTCATGTGATATTGGTCAGCAGATACCCTGTTTTGACAGCTATAACAATTAACCAAAACATGGATGCGCAGTATCAGGTTGCAGGCTCCCACAATAACTAGAAAAATAGAACATTGGTTTACTTGTGGTGCGGACGGACGGACGAACGGTCACGAGACTACCAAAATTTTCTCGGATGGAGAGAATCCTAACCCTAAACAAATTTTCTTATCTAAGGGCCACTGCTGAAGATATGACACACACTTAATAAAAGAGGAAGGAAATAGACTGACAAGTTTATGCACAGCCGAAGAACCAACCCTAAACAGCACGAGCCAGCAAATGTTCCCTTTGACTGCTCGTCACTAAATGTGGGTGAAAGGAAGGGAGGGAAGACGGAAAAGTACGAAAGCAAGGAAGGAAAAGGAGAAGGGAAAGGAAGAGAGGAAAGGAGGGAGGAAGGAAAAAGACGGGAAGGAGTAAGGACAAGGAAAAAAGTAAAAAGGAAGAGAGGAAGGAAGACGAAGTAAGGAAGAGGAAGGAGAAAGGAAGGAAGCAAACGGAAGGAAAAGAAGGGAGGAGGGAAGGGGGGAAGGAAGGGAGGAAGGAAGGAAGGAAAAGGAAGGGCTAAATGAAGAAAAAAGGGAGGGATGATCAAGGACGGAAAATGTTTTAACTCTGAAAAGACTTGAAGAAAGAGAAGGGAAAACGAAATAGTGGGCTTCTGTGCCTTTAATTCTATGGTAAGTGTTTTCGAAAAATGTGCAAGATTTGTATGGTCCAACGCCAAAGGAACGTCCGAGAGCTTTAACGATTACCCATTGCGTTTTGGCTTAGAAATGAGAATTCAAGTCACTTTGAGGAAATCAAAGCTCCCTTACTAAAGTCGAGGAAAATTTTACATGGAAGGCCCGCCCCATTAAATGTCATGGTAGATGAAGCTAATAAATACAGTTAGCGTTTGAGAAAACCAAACATCTTCCACTTGTCAGTTTTCAATTTTATTTGACTATCAGCATCACAAGATTAGTGCATTTTTTTAACCATTTCTCAACGAGATTATTTTCCTAGCTAAATGTCAATTCATTAACTATAAAACAGTCTGTATTACTCCACTATTAACGTTACAATCGTAACGCAGATGAGTATTGAAAGTTTCTTCGTTATTTAGCTTCATGATAATCAAAACATTCCTTACAACAAAACAACTTTGGCTAGATTTCTTTACTCTCGCTTCATTCAAACGACCTCATGTACGACGTACCGAAGTGTAAACTCAAACGCCTTCCCACGTTATATCCAATGAGGCAATATAATGTACGCCTTCAATTATCACGTGATTAATTAATTCTTCTAGAATTAGAATATTATAGTATTGCATGCGTTTGGTCAGCGGTACTACCAGAGAATACTATGCGACAGTCTATGTCCCACTTGCCAGCAAGAGGAGCGAGAGGTCTGGGGACCATCCGGTTTAACTCCCAAAAGAGGCTAAAAAGCACTCTTGACTTAAGACGCGAGAAAAATAGGATAACTCTAAAGAATTTAACTGTCTTTCATCTCTCACAAAAATCATTAAAGCTAATTTTTGCAAATCTTGAGGCCCTCAAATTCTAAGTCAGAAACAACAATAGATTCAACACCTCTCAGTTGAAAGCTCTATAATGACTTTTGTTACAAGATACACATTACCAATTACTATAATTATTACTGTTACAAAATTTAATTTCGGTTTTAGAAAAATACATGAATTCACCTAGTTTACTGTGAACCTTGTCGGGTAATTTAAAATGAAAAGTGCTTATGTGCCAGGAAACTCGATAACAGCGCTAGAATCAGCCATAGCTTAGCCATCATTGTCACTTTTGCTATGTAAGCACATTACATTGGTTGACATTTTTCCCTTTTTTCTCAATTGTTTTTCAAGTTTTGTTTTAGCTTATCTAACTGATTAAGCCAACTCTCCTTGTCAAACGAAGTAGGAAAATAGCTTATCATAAGCTGCAAATTCCTCCCATTATATTGGTTTTGTCACCATGGCTACCGAGCTTTCTATCTGTTGCATGTTGTTTCCACCTTTATCGCCTGAGTTATTCCTGTCGCGGAGTACTGGTAACCACTCCGCGAGGAGAACACGTGACTTGTAAGCAAGCCGAAAAGGTCGCCATATTAGAGTATTTTGTAATGAGAAAAAGTAAAAATTTCCATTTCGGGACAAATCCCTTCTTTCTAGTTATTAGCCCCACTTTCTGGTTTTTGGAGGAAAACCGCGGGTCTTTAAGACAGTAATTTGAATACATTCAATAACCAACCCACCAGATTAACTCGACATTTCTTTCCATTTTGTCCCGTACGACAAAACCTTTTTGGTGGATTAACCACCTACAGACCACAGAGCTTATTAGGCAATTAACACAAAAGCTATGGTTTTGCAATTCAGCATCTTCTTAACTACACATTTTTTTTTCTAGAGAGTTGATTAACATCGAATTTTGAAAAAGGATGTTTTAAGTCAAGCTTTAAGTCAAGCCAACATCCCTGTACGAAAACAACGAAGGAAGGAAGTGTATCGTCGTTTAAAAAACATAGCTATCTCTAATTAAATTTTGTAGTAACATGTCTGGCATCTTATGGCAATACATTAGAAAAGGCCAGCTTTCTTCCTAAGATTCGTCTTCTTCCACATTGCCAGCGCATCAAAAGCGGTTCTGGTCATGTTAAACGCCTTCTGCGAAAGAAACAAACCAAAAAAAATTTTAATTCATAAGCCTGAGAAGACAGCCAACACTGGTTTCCCCTGAGGAGTTGGCGCAGAATTCCAAACTGATGACATATGTCACTACCAAGATCTGGGTAGTACCTCAGTTCTGAACGGTCGGGCCCAGAGGGCGATTTGCTTCAACCAATCAGAAGCACTAGCTAAATCGCCATCAGTATGGAATTTCTGCGCTCTTTCCTTAGTCGACTCTACGTGGGGAAACCAGCAGTAGACTTTGCATTGCAAACAGGTCAGTTCACGGTTTGGGCTAATGGTAGACAAAATTCACGACTAAATTTCGTCCCGGAATCGCTTTTACCATTTGTACAATTCAGTTCCATTTACCGAAAAACGAACGCGAAGCCCTGAAACTGGTACGAAAGATTATATTCAAGAGAGGGAACACGAATTTCCGTTTTAAACAGGACTACCTCTTCAGATGTTTTGTTCCTGCGGGAAATTTTCAGATGTAACGACCCAAAAAGTAGTGTTCAATTTACTGTCCAACCGAATTTTCCGGAAACTTTTTGTAAATAATAAAC